TAGTATGTATGTATGTATGTATGTATGTACGTATATATATACATATATATATATATATTATATATATATATATATATATATATATATGTGGCACGTGTGTGCCCCGGCTCATGTAAAAATTGAAAAAAAACAAAAAACGTTTGAAACAATAATGACATGCAACAGCGACGTCGCGCTCGAGCGCAAGTGGGGTTGCCACGCCTTGCGATGTGTGTACTACGCCCCCCTTCCCAGGAAGCCTCAGGAGGCCCGACTTGGATACCAGCAGAGGCTCCAGGAGGCCCCAGGGTTGTGAGCGGTGTGTGTGTGTGTGTGTGTGTGTGTGTGATGTGTGCTCTTTGTTGTGCGTGCCTTTTGTGCGTTGTAGGTGTCGTGTGTGTGTGTGTGTGTGTGTGTGTGTTGCGTTTGTCTGGCGTGTGATGTGTTGGGCGTGATTTGTGTTTCTGTGTGTGCACGTAATTCTGAGGCCCAGGAGGCCCAAGGAGGCCCCAGGCGGCCTCAGGAGGCCCCAGGAGACCCCAGAAGGTTTCAGGAGGCCCCAAGAGGCTCCGGGAGGCCGCAGGAGGCCCCGGGAGGCCCCAGGAGGTTTCAGGAAACCCCCAGGAGGCTCCGAGGCGGGGTTTGGGGTACCAGAAGGTTCAGAAAGCGCCAGGAGGCCCCAGGAGGTTCCAGGAGGCCTCCAGGAGGCTCCGAGGCGGGGTTGGGGGTACCAGAAGGTACGTCGGGGCTCGATTTTGGGAGGATGTTTCAGGCGAAACCGCAATTTTCTGAGAATCGGGGTCGACATTAAATCACCATGTGTCTTTTGAAGGTTTAATGTTAAAATGTTGAAATTCCCATGTGCTTTTGGACCCTGACGTCACGATCTGCGTGAGGGGTGCCACCGGTTTTCAGAATTTCGAGGATGTCCCTAGGGAGACGTCCAGAAAATTTGCGGACGCGGTTCCCCGCGTACGCATTAATCGCCTCTGAGCTCTACTCCCTCGGAGAGGTGCGTATGATATATATGTATATATATATATGTATATATGTATGTATGTATGTATGTATGTATGTATGTATGTATGTATGTATGTATGCATATGTGTATGTATATATAATTATATATATATATATATATATATATATGTAAGGGCTTCGCCCCCTGCCGCCGGCCCCCTCTCTCGGAGAATGGGCCATGGAAGAGCTAAGTCATGAGGCCTTGGCGCTGTCGTGAAGCAGTATCGAAACTTCATGCGAAGCCGATTCGCAATCAGCAAAACCAACTGATCACAAGAGGGGTTACCACACCTGGCGATTGGTAAGACGTGTATGGTTTACGGGCTTGGTTACCACACCTTGCGATTCAAGGGCCGAGGGAGTTCTCGCAGTTTGGGTTACCACGCCTTGCGATGGATGTGCGTGAAGGGTGGCACCGAATTTCAGAAATGTGGCAAATCCCTGTGTTTTTGGACCCTGACCCCGCGGATCTGCGTGAGGGGTGGCACCGAATTTCAGAAATGTGGCAAATCCCATGTGTTTTTGGACCCTGACCCCGCGGATCTGCGTGAGGGGTGGCACCGAATTTCAGAAATGTGGCAAATCCCATGTGTTTTTGGACCCTGACCCCGCGGATCTGCGTGAGGGGTGGCACCGAATTTCAGAAATGTGGCAAATCCCATTGTGTTTTTGGACCCTGACCCCGCGGATCTGCGTGAGGGGTGGCACCGAATTTCAGAAATGTGGCAAATCCCTTGTGTTTTTGGACCCTGACCCCGCGGATCTGCGTGAGGGGTGGCACCGAATTTCAGAAATGTGGCAAATCCCTGTGTTTTTGGACCCTGACCCCGCGGATCTGCGTGAGGGGTGGCACCGAATTTCAGAAATGTGGCAAATCCCTGTGTTTTTGGACCCTGACCCCGCGGATCTGCGTGAGGGGTGGCACCGAATTTCAGAAATGTTCGAGCCCCCCCCAGCAATTCAGACAACGCGCCCAGGGGGTGCTACAATTCTGGTTTGGGCCTCCCCCCCCCTCGCGCGGTCAATCAACTAGTTACAGTAACCAGCAATAAGCAGAACTGTAACACTGGAAACTACAAGCTACAACTGGTACAGGAAACTGCGAATCCCGCGCCTACAGCCTGGTGGCCCCACAAGGGGGCCGGCGGATATATAGTTTCGCATATATATATATATATATATACATATGTTTTACCATACGATATTGGAGTATTTACAAACATGTACATGTATCATTGCATAGTAAATGCAAGCAGTGCTTCATGTAGATCGAAGAAAATATCACCAGGGGCTTGGGCTCCCCAGTTTTGTCCATTGCCTGCCTTCCTCGGGTTCCCCTTGTGCTGTTCCTCGGGTTCCCTTGTCTTGTCTCTTGCTTGCGTTCCTCGGGTTCCCTGGTAGTGTTACCTGCTTTCGTTCCTAGGGTTCCCTGACCTTGCTCCTCGGGTCCCCAGGTCTTGCTTTTTGCTTGCGTTCCTCGGGCTCCCTGGCATTGTTTCCTGCTTTCGTTCCCAGGGCTTCCTGGTATTGCTCCTCCGGTTCTCAGGTCTTGTTCTTTGTTTCGGTTTCTCGGGTTCCCCAGTCCTGTTCTTCGGCTTCCCCGACGTTGCAAGGCAATGCCAACCAACGCCAAACTATTCCAATCAATACCAAACCATGCAAAGCAATGCCACGCAATGCCAAGCAGTGCCAACCAATGCTAAGCAATGCCAAGCAATGCCGGGCAATGCGGGGCACCGCCCAAACATGCACATCAAAGCAACACACTGCCAAGCAATGCCAAGCAACACGCCAAAACAATAGGAATATTGCGAAGGCCTTACGGCCGGTGCCGCCGACCCTGAAGACGACGAAGATGAAAACGAGCGGGGGGGGGTAGGAGGCGGAGGAAGAGGAGGAGAAGTGGGGGGGAAGAGGAAGGGTGGAGGAGGCGGATGGGGGAGAAGGAGGGGGGGGGAAGGAGGAGGAGGAGGAGCAGGAGGAGGCGGAGGAGGAGGAGGAGGAGGAGGAGGAGGAGGAGGAGGAGGAGGAGGGTGGGGTAGCGAGTAGGAGCAACCAATTCTGGATGCCTCGACTCTCGACGGAAATGGGAGGGAGAGTGTGAGGACAAACCCTTTCCGAAAATCAATGAATGTGGCCTCCCCAGGCCTTCTTGAGAGTCCTTGTGGGGCTCTTTTGACCCGTCTGAGGGCCCCCTTTGGCCGTCCTGAGGCGTTCTTGGGCTGTCTTGTGGGGCTTGGGCCGTCTATGGGCGCTTTTGCAGATCCGTCGTGGCGAGCCCCCCCTCCTCCAGCGCATCTACAGAGGGCCCCTCCTTGTGAAAGCCGCAAAGGGGGATGGTATTTTGACTGGGGACCCCCTCCCCGGGACCCCCTGCGGAACCCTCCCCCCCCTGGCGGGGAAAGGATCAAAGGGAGGGGGCCTCCCTTCGACTCAATGACAACGTTGTCAATTTCGCTTCGGCTGGGTTGCTTCATTTCGCTGTGGCTGGCGCGCTTGAGGACGAGGGCCCAGGGAAAGAGGGGGGGAGCGGCGACGAACCCAAAAAAGAA